CTTCGTAAAAACTGACCACAGAAAGATTTCACCTGCACATACCTCATGTGGTTGTCTCTTGATTTAGTGGCGTGCGCTAACTTCCTGAGCAAAAACGTGAAGTAAAGAAAGAAGCTCAGTGGTTTCTAAGACCTTAAGTGAAGAGCATCAGACTACCTCATATTTTCATATAGGGTCAACTCAATCCTTAGCAACTTCTCCCAGGTACTCGTCTTAATACTGCCCCAATCTGTCAGCACTAGCATTTGTCTGCATTGAAACTGGAGTCATGGGACACCAGCAGGCTAGCACAACGGCTGCCATTCTGTCTTTTTCACTCTGAAAATGCTAATCCTGGCACGATGAACCATCGATGTGGTTTTCCAGGCTCCTGCAAGCTATGTCATTGCCCTGAAGCAATCATTTGTGCTTTTGCCTAAAAATGAGAACAATCAGAGCTGGAAAGTCTTTTAGGCAATTACACTGGTCTCCTTCGCACGTCCACATCAACTAACACCCAACCTCCCTCCAAAAAACTCCTCTCAATTCTGAGAGCAAACTTCAGCCTACTCTTCCTCATATATGCAACAGTTACCTCGACCCACTGCTATTCCTTCTCAAGGATGTCTGCTTTTGCTGTTTGTGAGAAGCATTCAGTGAGAAATAAGAATCTTTTCCTATCTCAGATATATGAGATTTTAAAAGCTGTAATTCCCCAGAGATATTGGCTCTCACAGCAAAAAACAATCACTTCCCATTTTGCTTTTGTTCAAAAACTACTTCGGTACATAGAAGGTACGAAGTTCTCTGCCCTTGGATAAGGACCTGTTGACTAAACGATGCTACCTGCTTGTGCCTGCTTGTAATATCTTATTTTCTTCTGCCCCTCTTATTTAAAGGTGGTATCCTCAGACTGAATATGTAGGACCAGACATCAGAGACGCTTTCTTCTGTCCAGCTTTGTCTTTACAGTATTCTTTGGTTTTTCACTGTTCCACGATTTAAGTGACTTTGTCCCCTTAAATTGCTTTTCTTCTGTCAGAAGACGCTATATCAGAGACGCTTTCTTCTGTCCAGCTTTGTCTTTACAGTATTCTTTGGTTTTTCACTGTTCCACGATTTAAGTGACTTTGTCCCCTTAAATTGCTGTATTACTGCCATTCCAAGCCAAATATATGATGTTTCTCTCTCCTGGATGGTATGTTTAGAAATGTATTAAAGAAGTGCAGGCCCATTGGTTTATTTACTCCTCTCTAGCACCAATATCCTCTGCTTCTTACAAGGACAAATTTTAGAGCCGTGTTTAACACAGATTTACTGCAGGCTGTGATGCTTTTAGTTCTTTCACCTCATTGGTACCAGAGAGTGTGACGTATACTCTGGCATCACATGATGTAATTCCAGTCACGCAACAGCCACTCACAGCCAGACTGGGTGGGTTTATCCTGAATATCTTTGGCTCTTTTTCAGTGATATAGACTGCAAGTCCAACCAGGCATTTACAAATTGGTCAATTCCTGCTTTATCTTAAAAGTCCTCATGGGTATCTGGCTATGCCAGAATTGCAAATCTTTTGATCTCTTTCTGCCAACACTGACTGATGCTGGCTCTGACCCCTGTCTCAATATCTACCAGTAATTTGGATTCCTTTTAGGACAAGTTTTGCAGCAGCAACATAAGGATGCTCAAGCTGGCTATCAGCAATCTCCCAGCTTTGTCATCTTCCCAGCTATTTGTTTAAAGTATGGTACTTTATAGAGCCTAATGAGCCTCCCAGGGAGTTCATCCTTCCAAGACAATTGGCTCATACTTGAGTTTATTGTGCTGCAACAAACTGAGCACAGTCCACTGGGTTTTCCTTGCTTACAAATGGAGTAGAAGAGTCTTGTAAGTGTCTAATCCACTGGCAAGTGTAAGTCCATATCCCCATATCATATGTGATGCTCCTTTTTGTTTCTTATGGTGGCAAATCAGGTACTTAAATGCCAGCACATATCTGTAAGCAAGTTCCAAGCTGATCAAAACTCTCCAGGACATTCCCTTTCTTGGAGAACATTCTTGTTTACAGCACCTCAGTTACTAGTCATCTTCTTTCCTTACTTCCTAACTTGACTGAGTATTTTGCATTTGCATCTCAGAACTGATGCATTCTTCACTTACAAACCATTTCTAGGAAATAACGAGGCGTTGCTCTTTCTGATCGCTATCATGTTTCAATCCCTTTCTGAAATCTCCAGGTTTGGCTTTGAATCTATTTAAAAATTATTAAGTTCACCATGGAGACCTGTGAACTGCTTATCTGTATCCTTTTAGTACAATGGGAATGCTAACGTGCAGTTTGGAAACTGGACCATACTCCTGACAGCTGGTAGTTTTTTTGCTGTGTGTGATTAGCTAAGGGTCACACCAGAAAGCTGGTATGAAGAAAAAAAAGCTATGGTAAAATCAGGGAGCACTGATACAATCCTCCTTCTGCAAAAAGCACAGGAATAACAATAAACCTCTTTCCCCTAAACACAGGAGAAATCAAATGGTGGGAGATAGAGAATGCTCTGTGCTCTCTTCTCGCTGCTTTCATCCTTAGATGGTAGATGGAGAATGCTCATTTTTTAAGTGTTGTCTTCCCAAGTGCTTGAGCGTTTTTTCCTTCCTGTTGTGCTGCCACAGCACAACAACTTGTAGGGCTATGCTGGAAATTAGATCACACAGCTGGGCTAGGTTAAAAAACCCCAAACTTCTAAAAATCTATTTTTAACAAAATATTGGGTTACCTCACACACCTGTTTCACAAAAACTAACCTTGGCGTAACTGAGGGGCCAGAAAACATCAGGGCAAGGGTGGGACTGAGTGGCCACAGCAGGGTGCACCTAAGCCAAACCGTTGTAGAGACCTGGACAGCACTGGACCGTAGCCTCTGCTCCACTCACTGTCCTGCTGCTTCTTCCCCGGACCAGCAACAGCAGCCAGTAAATCCCTTTCGACTCTGTCCTTTATGGGACTTTTTTCTTTGATGGAGATATATATTTCTGGGGACAATGCTCTCAGTTTTTCCAGCTACCTAGTTACTGCAAGGGAGCTTAATAATGTCTTATAAGTACCTGAAATAACAGAAAATGCAACCAGTGAGAAACCTAAATCATAGTATTACCATAGGGGCTTAAATTTTGGGAATGACTTTCATGTTTAGAGCGCTGCTAGTTAAAGGCACCGAGATGCTCTTGTTTCTCCTTCAAAACCTTCATACTTAGTAGAAAGCGTTCTTCTCAAAGGCAGCTAGACAGTTCCTGCCCTATTTAAATTTCACATGAAACACTTTATTTCAGTCACTCAGTGAATTTGCCTTGGGCAACTGAATCACAGCTGACAGCAAATTAATGACTATGATGGTGTGATTAGTAGAGATTACAGGCAAATGAGAAGCTGCCCAAGCATTTGCCGTTGTCACAATGCTTATGCCAGCTATTATTAGGGATTAATAATGGTCATAAAGAGGACTGGATTCCACCAGGTAGACTCTTTAAAAACCATTAGTATTATAATATGTCACTGATATTCTGATTAAATGGTGAAAATTATTTTTATCTAACCATTTTTTTTTAATGTTCTTTCTAGATGTTTACATTACTAATTTTTTTTAAGTATTACTAGAAAAATAGTTGCTGTTATATTTAAGGGAGAAGTACCATAAACAAACACACTTGACAGAGAAATTTAATATTATATTACACATGGGGAGTCAAAACAGAACTTAAGCTCTGAGACTCTTCTGCTGTGAGATATCACACCAAAACCCAACTGGGAAGAAATAATGATTTTACTAATCTCTAGCAATGATTTTTTGAGGAGTTCAAATAAAAGTTTGCTTGTTCTGATTGAGATTCACTAAGTAGATGTTATTTGATTTTTCTGCTTCCTGGGGGATGAACTTCAGATTCCCCGGGCTGCCAGAAGAAAAGAAGAATGGGCTGCACTTGCAGTAGAGCATCTTAGCTGCTAAAGACATGATAAAAGTGAACACACTGCATATTTGCCAAAGCTTTTGCCATTCATTTCATTTCCAAATGTCAACCAGTTATATGAAACCTTTAGAAAGGTTTCTTAAGGTAGAGCAAACAGGAGGATAGGGTATTTTTAATCTTGTATTAAAGATATTTAATTATTTATAATCGTTCTTATTTAAAATACAGTAACTTGAACTTATGCAAAGACTTGGCACTGTTTAATAATAAAAAGAACCATCTGCTTCTTATGCCTATCCCTACAAATATTTTGTTACTGGATGACAGTGGAAAACATGAAAAGCTAATGACTGGCCAACAAGAAGACTATTTAGATATTGAAATGAAAATCTAATGAAGAGCAACATTACCAATCACATGTTATCATTTTGGGAAGCCTCACATAATGATTTTCCACTGACTCAGAAACACATCCACCCTTGTCACTGGAGAGTACAATGCATTAACAACAAAGGGAGATTTGTGGTACAGAGCACAATTTCTTATCATTGCAATACTTACAATGTCAGATATCAAAGAGCAAGTAATAGAAATCATATTCATTTTCAAAGTTGTAGCCTGATCTTACGAACACTCAAGCACATCCCCAAATACCTGGAAGACTACAAGGCCAATTAATTCTTAAAACTTGGGGGGGAAACCCAATTGAGCTTCCAGTTACCATTTCTAATTTTGGAAAGGCTTGCTTTAAAGTGTTAAAATTGCAAAAGCAAAGCATCTGAGTTACAGTCTCCACTGCACAAAGAGGGACCATGTTTAATAAGCCTCCTGGACTTGTATGCAGCCACCCACTGCAGAACTCTGCTTTCACTTTTCACGTGTGTAGCCTAACACCAGTGAAGCCCGTGACATTACACAGGTATAAAATAAAATAGTCTTTGGTGCCAATTTTTTAAGAAGTATTCCCACTCTTATTTTGCTCAGAGGAGCCTGCTATCAGCTGTGCAAATACCATATCTGTAATAACAGAAAGAGAGGCTGCAGTGTGCCAGTGATCTTACCTCGTACTCAAAGTCCTCTGCTCTATCTGCATCAGCAGGCAGGCTGGAAAGATACTCATTACCTTCATAAAAGTCATGCTCCACTGGGTGAAGAGAATGGCAGCTATGTGGAACAAAGCAGTACAACAGTAGATGAGACAATAGGGTTTTTTTAAATTAAAAAATAATACAACACCCCCACACCCATTTCTCTGTAGTTTTCTCATCTCTGGAATGCTACCCAGAATGGCCTGACAGTCTGAAAGGAACTGTACCAAGAAGTAGCAGGGGCTGTTTTCTTTTCAAAAAAAAGCTCATACTCCAACTGTGTTCATTTTGCTGGACTCATCTTTTGTCGGATTTACACAAGGTGATTTCTTAAAAGTGCCTGTTTTGGGCCAAACTACTTAATTGTGACAATCTGGGATTCCTTATGCTCATAAAGGTACCTAATTCCAGATTCACATGCTGCATCATGGCCAGGGGCAACTCAATAATTATCTGGTTATAAAGTCTTGAAAGTCCACAACCTACAACCCACAACACACACCAGGCTCACAAATTGTTCAAGAACTCACACAGAACAACTTGCATTATCCTCTTCCGTTAAAGTGGTAACAGTCAGTAAACTGCACTGTTAAATGGGCTTGGAGCACAAAGAATGAGGTCTTTACAGTGCCCACTTAGGTACAGCCTTAGACCCAAGGCTGGATCCCAACCATGCAGCACGCAGTGTGGATCTATCCTAGCAGAAGTAGGAAACTTTTCCCCATGCTGAGGGCATGGGAACTTCCAACCACAGTAGCACACAGTTTAGTAATATCCAGTAATGACTCAAAAATATGCATGTATCATGTCCCTAGCTGTGCAGCAGTAAGTGGTAGGCTCAATCCAGCATTTGGCTGGCAAGTTGTCTCTGGGATAATCATCTACCCAGCTTACCTAGAACTTGTAAAAATGGAGCTACATAAAAGTCAAAAGTGGTATGTTCTCCACTAGCATCAATTCTGCAGAGATGCACAGCACGCCAGGAAGTCAGCGGAAAAGCTCTAGGGCTTTCATAGTTTTGCTGGCTACAGACAGAGGGCAAGGGTTAACCACTAGATGATGTTACTCACGAAGTGGAGTCCAAAGAGGAAGAAGCCTACACCCTATTTTTGCATAAGCACCACCTGCTGGTGTTTGCATTCAATTCAGTTTCAAAGAATTCAACTGATGCGTAACTTAATTCATATCATTTGCCACATGACAGGCGAAATTGTGGTTTTGATTTCTATATTTTTTGAATTGTTTTGCTTTTGATAATGGGACCTCTAAATTAAACAACTTGTTTCCTTGAGTTTTTGGTAAGAATTTTGGAGGAACAGAAAGCAACAGGACAGCTCTTTCTGGGTTTGAAAAAGCCTTTTTGGTACTTTGGAACACAGAAGTGGGTTTTTTTTCCTGACTAGGGCTTAGCTTTGGATGAAAAAACACATGAACACAAAGTAAACATGGCCAAGATTCCTTCCGGTAGCTCTAATCCGTGAGCTGAGTTTAGGAAAATCATCACTGAAGCCTGAATGGGACAGTGTTTATTAACGACATTTATAATTTATTTAAAGTATTCCTGAGACTTTTTCAAGAGAAGGCTATAAGCCTACCGTTGCAATACCTCAATCCCACAGGTAAACAGCAGGAGAAGATAAACCATACCTGTCTGAAAGTAAAAAAGGGCAGATATCGGGAACCGGCGGTGTGGAAGGCCTTAGTTTGGCCAGAGCCATAATGTGCTCAAAAGTGATGTCTGTCTGAGTGCTGGCATCCACAAGCCGAACATCCTGAGAGCTACCAGGAGCTTTGCTAATTGGGGCTCGTCGTAAAACCTGAACGACAATTGGCTCCTTGGCATTGCGAAAAGCTTCCACTGCCTCTTCATGAGTGGCTTTGGAGAGGTCCTTCCCATTGACCTAGAGAAAACCAGAAAAATATACCGAAGGTTAGTCACAAGAAAAGGCAGCATAAAAATATGGGTGTAAAATATAGGGGGATGAATTATTTGTGTAGTACATCAAGCCACATGCTGACATTGACTGGACCGTGTATTTTGGCATCCATGCAAGAGGGAAGATAAAGCTGGGAGGAGAAATAAATTCTTAATTTCTTTGCCAGAAATTAGAAATGGTTTGAACTCTTCCATGATTGTCCCAGTGGAATCTGAACACAGCAAAGGAACTACAGTATTTAAAAAGGACATATAAAATTATTTCTCTCATGCTATTTTATTCACATCATAAAATACAGATAAAAAAAGGAGGGGTGCCTTTAATTTTCAATTTCAGCATTTTCTGTGGCATGCAAGTGTTTTAAAGGATTTCTGGCACAGCATTGTTATTAATGCAGATGTCAATAAACATGTCTCTGATGTCTAAAAAGAAACAAGGCCAATTTTCAATGTTTTGTCACTTATCTGCTATGGCCATTATACAATCATTAAGACCAAAGATAGGAAGATTTGACTAACACAGTCAGCTGCTGCTCTTTTAAGGAAAGAGAAATCTAAATCAAACAAACTGAAGAAACAATTTGCTACAAACAAACGAATAATAAACCAGAGAAAATTATGCTGCAAATGCAGCACAGCTTGGCAAAACTAAAAGACTGTGGCAAGGTTTTTCTCTGCTACAGGCAAAGCAGCAAATTCCTCCCAGTCTAGATGAGGCCTTAGGGTATTAAAAAAGGTAACTGCAAGGCTGGATGATGCTAAATTCATATGAATTCAGGTGTTTAGGGCAAAATTCCCAAGTACCAGCCCACTACAAAATGTGAGGGCTAATTTGTCAATGGCAGTCCGCAGCTAAGCCCCTGGACGCAGGCGCTGTGTGTCCTTACACAGAAAACACCATTCTGCTGTTGCCAGAGCAATGGGGCTGCTGTTTGCTGCACAGGACCCAACTGTTGCAGGCTACCGTGGAGATGAGATGATCCTGTGCTGTGGTAGAAAGGTAGGGCTTTCTAGTAAGAAAGGTGAAGGGTAGCAAAACCTGATTAAAATTTATACCCCTGGGAAAATCTCTACACTGGCAGCAAATCAGAAAGAGGATTCTTCTGCAAGTTCATGCCCAAATTAACTTACTGGTACAGACAATGAAGTCGTAAAACTTCTGCTTAATGAACTAAGTTTAACCCTTCCCAGAAATGGGACAGACCCCATAACTGACTGTTCCCCAATGTCTGCAAATACTGGTTGAACCCAAAATTTCTTTGCCACATCACTCTCACTCAAGAAATTCTTGGAACTTTCTTGTCAAAAAGGAAAAACACGTGAACAAGAACAACTCCAGCAAACTCAAAAGAACCACTCAGCAGCCTTCAGTAACATTTTTAAGCGTGCCAGGAGAAACATTTGCAATTAAACACGTCCTTTTTGAGGCAACACGTGTAACCATAGTCCTGTCTATTTATGTGGATGGCTATTTTGACCATCAATTACCTGTATACATCAACTCGATACACTTCCGTAGCATGTGCTCAAGTACAAGGTAGAACCAGCTTTCTGCTGACACAACTTCCGAAGAAGCAGCCCTTTCACAGTCACGTTACTCATGAGGACATGCAAAATAACCACACCATAGCATAGCCACCAATGCAAAGGTCAATTGATCTTTCTAGCTAGCCCTGGTGCTGTACGTGATGATGAGATACCTGAACAGATTTCTAAACACACAAAAGCTCAAAACTCCCTGTGCTGAATGCATGGGATCCCCACGGGTACCATACCACTGCAGCCTAGACTGTGATCAAGTAATATGAATAAAAGCTAGCCTGGTCACCTAAGTTTAATGCATATATATGGTTTCTTTGATGACTGAAGCCAAAATGTTAAGATTTTATCGTTTCAATGATCATACATCAAATTCTATCTTCGGGTTACATTACATACACACATACATTCCATTACATACATGGGTTACATGGAAAAATATCAGTGGTATATAAGAGGAAGGGCCAGAACGGTCAAAGAACAAGTTATGTTATAAGAAAATAAAATACGTTTCCCCAAGGAGCGAGCTTCTGCAACCCCCTTCCAATAGCACAAGCTGTACTGCCAGGCTGCTCAGACTCAGCCCTGTCTAATAGAGGCAATTAGAGATAAAGCTTCAAGCCTGGGTCTTCTAGTCACTCTTCAGACCCAGCCTCTGCTTCATTCTTGCTTCCAACTCAGATCCTATCAAGGACACAATTTTCCACAGTTCCTGCAGTTTTTGTAACAAGTGTGCCCTACAGCCCCTCTGAGTAACTCTCATTCCTAAGGCCCTAGGAACAGAAAAATTACTTTCCTGCCTCCCAAACCCCTTTTAATACTTTATACGTCTTGGGTCACTACACAATGTTTCTCCTAAAAGCAAATGCTTGGGAATAAATACCACATAGCACTATATCAATTTTTTTCCGTATTCAAGCAAGTATAAAACACACAATCCTTCTGTATCCCAGCTGAACCACATGGGTTTTGGCACAAGCTGACCATTTTATCCCAGATCTGCATCAGCAAAGCAAGACGATATTTGGATAGCATACAAAATACATTACTAGATTTTTTTGGAAAACCAGAAGCTCTGGTTATCCACATCAGTCACTACTTACCACTTATTCTGAGGAAATAGACATAAATTCACAACGCCATTTACATGCAAATTCTATTTCTAAAGAATAATAATATTTTAAAATCACATGAGTGTTAAAAATCACAAAAGATACACATTTCCATTTATCCTGGGAACCTATGGCTGACCTCTGTTTTCATTTAAATATCTATTTAATTTAAAGACTTCAAAAACATTCCATCCTTTATGCTGGTTTCTTATGAAATACAAGCACTTTGGACACCCAATACTTGTTTAAATTGTCACTTGAAGTTCATCAACACACTTTGTCGATCTGCATAAAGGTCACCTAATTTATGAATGCCGCCTTTCTCAGAAGAAAATCTATAGCTGAATTACTCTATGCTGGCAGCTGTCCTTGCCCACTTGGGGCTGGGAAGAGAGAATTTATTTTAAAACCTAAAGCCAATACTACAGATGGGGTTGGAAGCTCTCTTCACATAGCTTCTTTAAGGGTTTTCTGCCTCCTGCATTATCCCCCAAGTTAACACTCAGGTATAGTTACCCTGGGAGCCTTAGACAGCCGAGCACTTATTTACAGCAAGCCACTTACAGGTTCTTAGTGGATGATTAAATAAATTCCTTGCCTCAGAAAGGTTACTTTCAGTGGAATCCAGGGTACTATTTTAAGTGGATAGAGAAATCAGTCACTTTTAACAGTCAACACAAAGACATGGGAATACATTTGTTGTAGCAGATGGGCTAATTAATCCACAAGCAAGTTGTGAATGTTAAGTAAAGAATATATCTTTTCTCATGTAAACCATCCTCCTGCCCTGTTTGATTAAGCTTCTGTTTAATGAACACTCTCCCCCTCGTTTTGGACACACTGCAAAGTCTGGGCCACTTGTCAACATCTTCCCCAGAGTGACTGGTGGCCACTGCCTGGATCCTGGCCATCCCCTTTGGATTCTTGCTCTAAATCCAGCCACATGCAAAACTTCATCAGAGTCAGAAAATAAACAAGCAAACGGGCTTTGTCTTTCATGTGCAAATCAAGTGACATTGGCCAACTGCCACTTCTAATGCCAGCACCGCTGTACATAGGTTTATTCCCGCTCACACAGAGGTGGACAGCAGAGAAGCAAGAAGGGACAGCACTAAATAACAAAACAGCGACTATACAAAAATATAGGTAAATGGTTGTTAGGTTATCCTTGTGCTTTTGAGTTCTACAAAAAAAAAAAAAAAAGAAGAAATATCAGTCCTTCAGTGAAGACTGCTTCCAGGATTTAAGTGGCTGTGACCGAGAAATGAAATAGCCTTGTCTTCTAACACTTTTCTGTTGCTGATAATTTAACACTGGACAGAATTTTTTAATCAAGAGGAACAGAAATGTTGATATGTTTCCTGTAGTCCTTACTTCCCCCCATATTAAGAGAAAAGGGAAAAAAAGAAAAAGGGAAACAGGGAAAAAAAAGGAAAAAAGGAATGCAGCCATCACAGAAGGTGTCACATTAGCAGCTCATGAGATAACCTCCTACCCTCAGCAAATACCTGGCATATGCAAGTTAAAATTTAAGATCTGCTCTGCTGAGGTAAAATCCTTGGAGACCCTCTATTTAATCAGTAAGGGGAAAGGGAAGAATAACCGGAGCGTTCTGCTAGAGCAGAGACGGCCAGACACAAAGGTTTCTCAGCAAAATGACAGAGATGCTGTCTGACGTGATGATGGAGTTCACACAAGGCTCACTGTCCTAGGAGATTTCAACAGCCATGCCCAAGATGCCTCTGACCTGACAGGTGCTAGATCTGCTCTTGTCACAGCAGTCTCTTCACCTCCAATCCCTTGCCCTAAATGCATCCAGGCTACCACACCCTGGGTACATCCTTGGATGGCAAACTGGCAAAAAGGATCAAACACTGTCCCTTAGTTTGACCAGTCCTTCTTTAGGATGGGAATTTGAGCCCTAACTACGAGCCACAGAAAAAAGAGCAAAACCATACCACCTTCCTTCCTCCCAGACTTACAGCTTTGGCACATACAGCCTCTAGAAAACTTCCATCCGTGAGCCTCCCCGGGCAGGACAGGGGGGCACAGGACATGTGAGCTACCAGTGACACACGGCCTGGAGAGGACACCGCAACTCTTCTGCTAAGGCAAATGTGATAGCTCATCTACGGGAAGGGCATTCAACATTCTGGCCTTTTAGGTTACAGGTCAAGTACTAAGCTTCATTTCTTGAGCAAGTTAATCTGAAAGGTAGCAAATTCAGCCATTACCCACTACCACTATCCCGGACAGGGTTCATGCAAGTTCATTAAAGGACAACTTTTATTATGCTGGTTAATGACATTTCCTC